TAGATCACTCGAAAATTCATCTAAAATAATTCTGTGTATGCAAAACAAATAATTTGGAAAAAACGGAGAAATGAATATATCAGTGGTTCTCAATCTTTATAGGACCGCGACCCAAATTTTTTTCCAAAAATCTATCACGACCCCATAGTTTTACATTTACAGAATCAATAAAAATAATTTCAAAAAACAAATTTATTCTATTTTATTTCTTATTTACTACTTTATAATAATAATAATATAATACTTTATTATTAATTAGGCGTATGTGATGAATGTGCTTGTTTCTTACAATCTATATAATTAAAAAAAACTTCTCGTGGCCCCCCAATAATTAACTCGCAACCCCCTAGGGGGTCGCGACCCACAGTTTGAGAAACGCTGGAGTATATAATTCAATATAAAACTTCACAATAAATATTTGTAAATTCATTAATTATCCGTTTGATAAGAAAATATTTATGGTTTTATACTAGGGTACTTTCTATATATAAATAAATTTTCAATAACTTCAATAAATTACAAACAAAAAATAAATTATTATAAATAACTATTAACGTACCATTTTTAATCGATTAAATATTTTAAATCATTTCGTTTTTAATATATTAAACTATCGGTACAACCGAATTATTTCTTGGGAGCGAAAAATTACACGACACAAGGTTATATTACAGTAACACAGTGAAAGTTCGACAAAAACAGAATTTTAATACTGAAAAACTTCGAGAGATGTTCAATTTTTGGTAAAAAATTTTGCGATTAGCTTGTAGCGTTCGTTCCGTCTTCCCCTCGTAATTATTAAAAAACCAATTGATTTGACATCTTTACACAAATTTAAATATGCACACTTTGAAAGATATTTGTTGTGGAAAAAAATGTTTACTAAATGATACTATACATATATTTAATGAAAACGATGAACTGATTAAATGAACCGGTTAAAAAAAATGGAAATTCTTATACAGTTAAACCTCGATAAGACGAAATCGCTTGGGACCATGATATTTTTTCGTGTTAACGAAGTTTCCGTTTTGAAAGGGTTAGTTAATTGTATGTAATTTGAAACGGGACCAAAAAAATTTTCCGTTATATCGAGGTTTCCGTCTTACCGAAGTTCTGTCTTATCGAGGTTTTACTGTAATACGAGTACTATTATGATAGCCTAATTATACTATTATTATTTATTATATTATATTATTATATAATAATATCATACATGATTAGCAAAAATGCACCACGAATGTCCATTTAGTGAATTGGTTTTATGTAGAAACGTATACAACATTGAACCTGCATGTATACGCACTACTCCACAATATTCACGAAGTGATCTAAATTCGAATAATATTAATCAATTAAAAACCATGTTATTCCTATACGTAATATTATACATACTATCTCAGACAAGGTAATGCAATATTTTGCACTCCTTTCCCGGGGAAATAGATTGTCACATAATAACTATTTTATCATCCATATTTTATACATAAATCCCGAAATGCAAATAATAACTCGGAACCGTCTAGTACAAGCAAAGGATGGCAAAAACCACGATGGAATCTTAAAAATCCGCACACGCACAGTTAATAAAATGTACACGATAATGAGCGTTTCTTGATGAAACATATTAAGTAAATTACGGAGCTTTTGTTGTACGTCATCAGTTACACTAATACCGCGTATAAAACTAAATTTATTCGAACAAGAATATTATACATATAAATTTTTTCGTTTTAATAATAACCAATAATACGAGTAATTATACTATGAGGTACGTTCAAACAAAATCCAAACAACAACAATATATCATATAATGGCGTGATTTCATAATTAGTGCAACATTGATAATCAAATTTAGCGGTCTATCGGCGGGTTTTTATATATTAAAAAATATCGCGATTTACTTCATAGATTAATCAAGTAGTGCCCAACCCGTGACCCATAGGTCACATATGTGTTCCGTGAAGATTCTATGTAGCCCCTTACAAATTTCTAAAATAAAACTGAATATTAAAATAAAAAGTTAAAAAGCGGCACAAGTCCAATATGCACCTAGATATACTCGTATATTGTATACCAACTATGTGTAACAAAATTATATTATTATATTAATAATAAAACTAATATGGATATTATTCGTACTTTTATATTTGGTGACCCAGTCGAAGATTGCTTACTAATATGGCTCATCGGGAAAAAAAAGTTGGGTATCACTAGGCTAGTCCTCAACCTGAAGATGATCCAAGAAATATACCTACATTTTTATGCTTAATTTTATAAATTACCATAACTGGAAATGAGTAATAGGTACAGTAAATGAAGTTTACAATATTGATAAAAGTTTGTTTTGAGAAAAAAAAAGGTTAATATCTCGTCGACTACTGATCAAATATAATTTTTGCTGTAAATGTCGACCAATAAATTATATTTAGAGCAACCAAGCACTAAAATTCTTAATTTATACACTTGACAAAGAAAAAAAGTTTCACTAATTTTATTTAAAATATTTAATGTAGTAACTAGTCTTAAATAAATATATCAAGATTTTAATTTTTGAAGACCCGTTCAAAATTATTCACGATGCAAAATTAGGCTATTGCCAATAAGATAAAGAACGCTGGGCTAGTCGATTTATTGTTAGTAGCACATTTACATTCGCATATAATCGTTTACGTATCGTTACCTACCAAATATAAAATCAAATAAGATGATACTGTTGTTAATACCGGCCGATTTTCGGTATTCATCGAATTATCGAAAACACGACCAAAATATATATATACATAACACCACTTCCACTGAAAGAGTTTTAATTAACTGGACGCGCGCGCGCACACATACACATGAGCTTGAATTTATACTATATTTATTCAAGTGGCTGGTAATAAAGTTTTTTCTAATAATTCATTAACTACCCGCCATAAAGATGTATACTACCAACGGGGCGAGTTCCTTAAAAATAATTTTGCCACGTCCGACCGTAGACGAATCTTCTATATTACATGTGTATATTTTAACCGAAGGGAGAGTATATTAAATTTTTGACCGTTAAACTTTTCAGCCGTTCGGTCACATCTTCCCTTTCCGTCGTCGGTAAATGAATGGCGGCCGACGAATAGAATAAACATACTTTCTCGGTCCTCCCTTCCCTCCGTATCCATACATATGCACATGTATACGGGTCGCGCTTAAGTGCGGCATCTCTCGTAAATCTCAAAGTCCAAAACTTTCACGTCCCATATTTCGCGGTACGTAATTTCTCTACTTCCGTAAACGACAATCTAGAATACACTGAGCCTACACAAACTTAATAACACGTTGACGATGATTTACAGCGAACGTAAAATAGTTGATATTATCACACGGCATTGCGATTCGGCACTTGGTAAAAATATGCAATGATCGAACAACAGAAGGGTTGTATTATATTTAAATTGATCAGAGTGTTCACGTCCTGTTTGCTAATTGCTCACAATCTAAAGCGAACCAGTTATTTCAAATTACTGTTTATTTAATTGGTGTACTTTTGTATCTGTAATCACATGTGGACCAAATAGTTTATTCATAATTGATCGGTTGATGGCGAATATAAAATCGTTTTATTATTTGCTTTATTAAAATTATAATTATTATAATTTTTTTTTTTTTTTTTAAGAAATAAACTAATTAATTTTAAGAATAACTTGAACCGAGTACACATATTTCGCATAAAAAACTTTTTCGATACAATTTTGGTTTAACAAAAAGATAATAAATGTTTTTAACAATACGTTACTTCAAAATTAATATATTATGTAACCGAAATAATGTATCATTATTTTATAGTAAAATAAATAATTATCATCAATAAAATACGAGAAGAATTTTCAACAGACAATTAATCATAACATTTTTCCGTTAACTAAAATATGTCTCTGCCATATTATTATATCTGCCATATATTAAAACATGATTTTCTAAATCTTTGAGAAATACTATAGAATCAATAGATATTTTCATACAAATTATTATTAATTGTACATTAAAATCACATATATGTATACCTACATATATAATAGTATAAAATATATTTTTATTATCAGAAATATAACATTATACTTGTAGGTAGGTTAGTTAACTACTAACATAAAAAATGAAGTTCTGTTACAATAGAAACGTATGCTTTAATCATCCATTACAACCATGTAGTAATATTGCATACACGGAGCGCCGTCCTTACTATCCGTAAACATAACCCAAATTGGTTATGTACCATTGTAATATCATAATTAAAATACGTGTACTGTTGTAGTACATATTGTTAAATTATTATGGTTCTGATCAAGGATTAATTACTATAATGAACATCGAATATGAATGAAAATGTTACTACATAAGAAAATCAAAATTAATTCGTGTAATAAAATTAATAACGTTATACAATAGTTTGGTAGATTAAAATACATTAAAATGTACGCGATGCAACAATATAAAAATATTTTTGAAGAATATTTTTTCAAATATAATATATATAACTAAAAAGATAAATACTCACAGCTAAGATGTTACGATCGGATCAAGTGTGAAATATATTATAATATAATAATTAATAATATTGAAAAGTTAACATAACCAATATTCAAAATATTCTTCAAATGTTTCTTGTAATTATTATTAAATTTAATAAATTGTTATATTTTTAATGCCTATAATAATAAAAATATTTTAACAAAAGGAATTTCGATGATCTTGCAAAAATTAGTTTTCAATATTTCTATTTTCGCTGACAACCCACAGACACACACATTTTTTTATTTGTCAGATACACAGATTTGTTGAACGTAATAAATGTAGGTATATATATTAATACATAGAAGAAGGATTGCTTTTTTATACAACATTTAACCTACATATAAAAGTGATTCATCATCGAAAGTGATATGTTCTATTACTTTTTTAAAAAAAAAAAAAGAGGGATGAAAAAATCAACCATCAGGATAAGAGAAATACAATTGAATAATTTTCTTCGCCGTAGTGACGTGGGTGAATAAATAAAAATAAAAATTATTAAACACAAAATAGTAGGTATAAAAAACAAAATCGTTATACGAAAGTTAATACCTTTTTAAAACGGGCGAAACTCCTTTTAAATATCGACGAACAAGGAAAAAACGTATGAACGCATATTTTTATGTATAAATACACATGTGCTTGTTTATTTATATTTTATTCGTTTATATAGTAATATGGGAATGAAACGTCGGTAATTATAAATCACTGCGAGTTGTACTTATAATATTAGAATTAATATTACAAACGAAGAAAGAAATAATAAAGCACAATTATGATAAATGCGTGTACACATAATAGTATACACATACGAGTATAATGACAGTTTATCTAAATAATCGATTTTAAATATCTTAAGTTATCCATCGTTGTTTATGAACGAATGGTATTTATAAGCACAATAATCTTTATTAATGTACAATTTGTAATATAATAAAAACAAAAAAACATTTTTTTACTTCTGAAACTGTAATGATAACCTGCTGTGTACATTTTCGTGTTTGTATAGGAGGTAATGACCGCTATGCACCAACAAGGTTTGGACACGACGATCGCCATGTTATCAGATGAGCACGAAGATCATGAGCCATCAAGTTCGAGAGATCTGTGAGTATAAAATGTATTTATATATATATATATATATATATATATATATATATATATATATATTATATTTTTGAGTACAGGAGTAACAGGAAAAATTAATTTAATAAAAAAAATAAATAAAAAAAAATACACAAACAAACCCTTAAAACGATTTTAGCGTGAGAATATACCCTTACTCATATATTATCATAAACGCGCGCGCATTACATATAATATTATATACATGTCGTATGCACGACGTGCAACGTTTCAAAAGGTATCATTATCAGACTCGACATAGTTAAAATTCCTGACGTGACAGATCCACCACTCATATATTCGTCTGAAAAAATAAAACAACACTGATAGACGATTAGATGGGGGGTAGAAAAAACGAGAACGGAGCCTATGAGAATAAAAATCGAATTCAAGTATATATAAAATATGTATACAATACCTTTCACGATGATCCAGGGCTTACACATGCAAATTTCAACAACCGAATTCGATGTAAAGGCTTTAGGAAGTAGATAAGAAACCATCGTTTACCAGCATTATGAACACACCCCACTTATGCACCGTAGGGGCAAAATACAGAATAATTTTTATTTCTCTTATTTTTCTATGACAATTTATGTCTCTTTTAGAAAAAAATATATTCTTAAACAATTCAAAAACGATCGGTAATATAACACTATACAATAATATTGTGATGAAAATCTATAATTTTTCTATTTTGTGAGTTTTTATTTATATTATTTAAAAAAACAAGACTGTAAAAAAAATACCAGTGCACAACTTTTACCGCCCGTTCAAATTTTAAGAATACTCGATTATAGTTGTAAGTATAATTTAATCGTCGATACAATATACTCCTTAACGTTGCAAATGTGTTTATCGCAGTTTACCATCATATACTTATTAATCTAACTCCTTAATTATTTCCAGTGGTTATAAATGAAAATTTCATTAAACACTATTTATGCATAAATTCAAAATTTGACTTATTCTAACTTGGTCAATTTTGTAAATAAAAAAAAAAATTTTATACAAAAAACGTTTAAAAAGAAATAATTTATCCGAATATGTAAAAAAAAGTAGTGTTTCCATTAAAAAAAATTTAAGTTGTGTTGCGCATGCGCACACCAAAGTGTTGAAAATTTGAAAATCATAAATAAATATGTATTTAAGTACCCCCTAAGCACTCTAAAATATTCTCTTCAATACAAGGTCATCCACCTGAGATATTTAGTGTTGCCTTAAACCGTGATCACACTGTATAATCAATAATTTTGAAAACATTTTGATGAACTACCAATACCTTTTTGTGTGAATCATAGCCTATGTAACAATATGTCATGTAAAATGTTATTTAGGGTTACCAGTACTCGATATTTTGGTTTGATCTTTGATTATAACATGAGACGGAATCTTCATACAAACAACCTAGTTATGAGTTTACGCATTCTCAATTTTAGTTTTTATAAATTGCGGTGTATTGTGGCTTTGAACACTATGAAAATGATTTATCTATAGATAAATCATTTTCATAGTGTCATAGATCTATAGATCTATATCAGTCGATTTTTCAGTATAAATTATTAGTGTGAGGAGGATTAATTGAAAATACCTTAAGAGTTTTACAAATACAACAATATAAAATAATCCGAATCTGACTTCGTAAACAAGAATTAGAAGACTCTACTAATCTTAATTTTAAAATGTTTGATGTCCTGTCAGTAAAAGAGTTGAATAAAAAAATATCAACCATGTGGATTATTAAATACCGAAATAACTGGGTTTATTTTATAAACACTCAAAATAAAATATATTAAAAAACATATGATGCCACAATAAGTCATTGTAAAAAATCTTTTTATAGGAGATTCGTTTATTATTTTAGAACTAATTTATTTAATTCCATACCTATAAAATAAAAAAAAAAGCTGCCGTTCAATGAAGTTTCAAGTTAAAAAATGCGGCCATTAAATGGATTCTCAGTACTATCGAAAAGTTTTATTCATAATTAGGTAACTTTATATTTCTTAATATTTTTACATGTATTATTCTTCATCTGAATTTTTTTGTTATTCTATTTTCTATAGAAATAATAAAGTGAAAAAATAAAATAAAAAAATAAAAGTAAAATAATAAAGTAAACTATGAACAATAAATTAATATATTGTTCATATTTCACTCTTTTTACTAGATTTATGTATTAATGTTGTAAATTTAAATTTAATTATTTTAATAGTGTAATTATCAATGATATAATTTTGTAACTCTGTACCTACACAACAAGCCAAGCTTAAAGGAGATATTCACAATTTTAATATATGCTAAAACTTGTATAATAAGTATATTTGTATAATTAATAAATAAAAATAAACAATATGCGACTTTTCAAAAACACACATGCACGCAGATTGACCATAAAAAGTAATCATCTCGTATGTTGTGTAGTATACGTGAATTTCTTTTAAATAGGACACGGAAATATTATAACTCTTTTTAGTACCCGTTCGTTGCAGTAGTAGCGTTTCCCACACGCTGTTTTTATAAAACATAACGTGTTTATCAAACAAAATACAACAGAATCCTAAATATAATATGCATATACGTGCAAACTACATTGTAACACGGTGACTTCCCGTCGCGTAAGCACCATTTAGTATCGTATATAACAATTTGCAACACACACACACATACGACTAAATGCATATAAACTTTTATATATTTCAATGGAATAAAAATACTCATAAACAATATATATGGACACAATAATAACACGAAATATATCTATCCGTATATATGCGGTTGGTGTTCTGTAAAAACACACTGCATTTGCTCTTAGTGAACATCACTGTGATCGATTAATTAATGGATAACGACTCTTGTGGTGGCAATCCGCCGCACCTAGGAGGGCTGGGAGATAAAACATACATCGTACATTCGACCAATATTTAGCGAGCGATTCTGTACGTGAAATAATAATCCGTGTGAATACGAGTGGTAAATGTTTATGTTCGCTGTTCCTTTCAAAAATAATATGAAACATTATACAAAACTACGTCATACCATACCGATGGTATGATTGCAGCATGTCCCGTGAGGATTTACAATTCGCAATACATCCTCTTATCGCAATAAATGCCAGAGTTTTGTTTTCTTTATTCCACAATTCAATGCGGTCTATAAAGAATTCAAGTTTTTAAATACACCTTACTACAAGTAATTAAAAATGGGAATATTGGAGTTCGTAACTTTTTCGTCACGGATGAGTGATTGCAATTAATACAAACCATCTACAGGCAATTATTTCTAACCGATTTCCTACGTCATAAGGAGAAAACATAAGCGTTTCATATACACCACATGAAAATTTTTCTTCAAGTCAAACTGTATTACTATACTAGTACAAAAATAATAAAATAAAATACAACACGTATCGCTATGTTTGTAGTTTAAAGGAGAATGCGAAAAATTAAAAAACGTGATTTTACCCAATGGGTAAAATTGGAAAAAATGAACCATATTTTGTAGGTCATACGATCAAGAAATACGAACCACAGTATTTAGCATTTAAGTAATTAATGTAACTATAAAAAAAAAAAAAAAAAAAAAAAACCGTACAAATTTCAAGTAAAACCGTGTAAATAATAGAAGCATAATACTCAAAACATGCTTCTTATATCATATCCTTACGATTGGTTTAATGTCCTTACTCGAAATCGTCAAAAAATTAACTGTTAAAGAATTATTTTATACGACTAATATAATAATATAATACATTATGTGCTGTAATAATAGCCACGTGATTACAACGTATAATTATTACAAAAAAAAAAAACCCCGTCACGAAATGATGCGAGCATATATACAAATAATGAAATGCTTAACAAGTACCAAAAAAACGCCCTTACACAGGAATCGACAGTTTTAAATATTAATCCAAGTATACCACTATACAAAACACTTTTTCTCAGCCGTATGTTATCTGTGAAGAATAACAGCTCACTCATAGAACACGTCACCGTTGAGACACTGAAAATAGAAATAATATTCATATATTAGGTCTTTCTGCATATGGAACATTGGAACACTCAAACAACGTGTTATCCCGTAATTCTTCACGATACGTAACCTGTTCGTAGGCACGTTCGTACGAATCAAACTGCAAACCTATAGTTGGTTACTAGCTACCTAAACATAATGTCGTTGTAATTTGATTTTTACGGCCAAAGTGTATAGAACGCGTACACCACGCTCTTTATGGGAGGAAGTTTTTTCGTTCGCCGGTACTCCCCCGTCACAAACATCCCTTCAACGGTCTATGCATCAACAGTATTTCACACAAAAGAACGCGCGCAATTTAGTCTAAATGGGTATAGGATAAACAACTGTAATGCATACTTTTTATTCGTCGTCGGTTCGATACTAATGGAATATGGTAGTAGCGAGTGGTGGTAGGAGCTGTGCACATGTAAATTGCCTCGGGAATTCGGGTAAATGTCAAAGTCTTAATGGCGACGGCTGTGGTGGCGCGGCGCGACTGTAACGCAGTAAAAAAAAAATAATAAAAAAAAGGAAACAATATAATGCATACGTATAATACGAAATACCGTTACACGAAACGTTGTTGTTCGGTGTACATGTGTATGATACACGCATCTATTTGTTTTGGAAAATCCGGTCAAACAAAATATGTATACGTACATAATAAAGGCGTCGAAAAGGGTCGGATCAAATTGTAGAAATGAAATGAACCGACGCCCGAGGGAAGAAAAAATTGACTATTTTATTATCACAACCGCCATCCCCACTGTCACATACCTTGATTTAGTTTATAATGAATAACCTGCAAAAGCCTATGTTGTCGGCCTTTTGATGTTTCATATCTTTTGTTACATAGAAAGAAGTTAGGATAGTAGTCCATCATGGGCGCCCGGAGGGGGGGAGGGAATGAGGGGGCATTCCCCTCCCCCTGCAATCCAATAGAATGTTGAATATTTTAACTTTTA